GTATCCTCATCATTCGCCTGTAACACCACATTTCGAACGCTTCTAACCTTTTATTTTTTGCCACACCCACCGTCTATGTTTTGCACCCGTACAGTGCCACGCTTAAAACATACACCTTATGTGCTTTTTATTATACTGTAGTTACCTAAATGTTAACTCAATTAATTTTCTTAAAAACATACATATATAATTTTTCACTAAGGACATACCGAACAGCTGTCCTGGTGAACGTATGGATACATATCAAGCTACCAAGGATCTAAAAATACTATACAAGGATCCTATAAATTGCAGTTGCCTTTACGATACTGTAATTATTACATATTCATAGTTATTATTTTTACAAAATTACCACAAAAGGAGTTAGTTCTCTTGCCTAATACAAGATACGGGTTCGTACCCCGAAATGACCTTATGTATCACTACTAGTTTCATTTTAATTATTAATAACGTATTTTAAGATAATTAAAGAAGTTCAAAATGCCATGTAATTTCCATGACAATTTTCGTGACACCGTGTAGGTAATCTCGTTTCACGTTTGGGTTTTCGTTTAACGTTTAAAACGATAGTTTACATTTCAACTAATGCCCATTCGATCGTGCATTACGTGGACGTGTTTGAATAAAAGCTAACATCATCGGGCGACACGGTTTACAAATAAATTCACCCCACATGTACATGCGTATGTGTGTGTATGTATACGGAGCAGGTGAGGTTAAAAAGAATGTCAATACAATTACCGTCGCGAATACTATACTCAGTTCCATGTCGCCGACTATTCGGTGCGTATATAAAAGAACCAATATTTAATTTGGGCGGAGCCGAACGTCGCTATCATACGAGTTATTGAATTTCAGAGGGCGCGATCGAAGAAAACGTGCCGGTGACACATGTATTCCTACTGTTATTATAAGCGAGCAAGGTAACAAGCCAAAAGTAGTCAAGCTGAAATTCACGAAACGCACCTGTGAGCAATATTTTTTGAATAACTACATATGTACTTGTGCAACTGATGCTTGCTTCAATTCGTATTTTCGATGTAGGCGGGAGCCAAGCAGAAATGACAAGTCTTTTACAAGGACGTAAATTAAAATTATTCAGAAATTGCATTTATCATCACTCCAAGACTGCATGATTAATACCAATGGTCGGTAATTATCCAGAATTGGGGCTGAGAAGATAAAC